TCTTGTTAAACAGCTTGCCTGTCTTTATATTTTTTCAGTAAAGTGTGACATGCATGGATATCATGTCAAAGAGTCAAGGAATATTTGTATATTATGCATGATAGATAGCCAGTAATATGAGTTAAATAATGAAACTTTAGTTCGTTTTACCAAAAAATCTGACAAGGTTCCCATTTGAGAGATAAAGGTCAGGAAGAGGATTAAGTAATCAGCAGGCAATTTTCCTCCTCAGTTCCAAGAACTGGTCTCCTGATGCCACGTCACTCCGCCCTCTCCTCCAGCAGCAGAAAAAACCCACAAAATTATGGTACCTTTTGCTCCCTTTCAACTAGTGATCAGACTTGGTCAAATTATGAGCCAAGAATAATTTTATAATTTTGACAATTCTAACTGAAAATAAAATTTGTAATGACAGTACATTTAACCATAGAAATATACAGCTGGAATATCTCGAAAAGTCACACCAAATGGAAACACTGCCAACAACCAGTCCACCACCTGGCACAGGATCGTCTCCGCGGCTCAGTAACGGCGAACGCTGGACAAGAGGAAATGACAACCTCTGAGACGAGCAGCTGAAGCCATTATTCTACGAGAATCGTAAACGCAGTTGTCAGAGGTCACAAAAATACTTTAAAATGGGACTTAAATGGATAATTACCAACTGGCGGGAGACTCAATGTGGTTCTGTAGTTCCCTTTCAAATCTGTTTCATAAAATGTGAAGACTTGGTATGTGTCTCTGTGTGTGTCTGGCTGTGTGTGTGTGTATCTGTGTCTGTGGGTCTGTGTGTATGTGTCTGGGGGTGTGTGTGTGTTTATCTGTGTCCGTGTGTCTGTGTCTGTGTGTGTCAGGGTGTGTGTGCAGGAGATGTGGAAGAGGGTAGTGGTGAGGAGCACTAGGCTCTTCCATAAATGGCATGAAAGAAATTAAAGAAAATGAGGAAAAAGGAAAAGTGTGGGAGGTTTTGGCTCAGCACAAAACCATCAGTAACAAAAAACAGATGTTCATTTACTGGCTAATAATGTTATTTAGTATGAAAAATAACATTTCATAGCAGAAGTGTTATTTTAATTCACTTAAGATGCCATGTTAGAAGCTAAGCTTTCTTATTCACAGATATGAAACAACAAACAGCCTAATTTATCCTAAACTATTGAGAAGGAAATTGAGGCATTAAACCAACTCATGATCTGACCCTAGTTCAGTATATGTTTATTAGCCAAGAGATAATTCATGATTGGCTCAACCAAATTAGAACTGTATTGGCAATAATTGGGGAAGACATTAGATTTCAAATTATACAGCATACAATTTTACCTAAGAATAATACTTAATAAACATTTTAAAACATTATCTAAAGACGATAGAATTTATTACGTGAGCCGCTAATAGCTCTGTGCGCATTCCATCTACTACTCAAAGGATTTAAAAATCTAAAAGCAGGTGTGCACAGAGAGAAAGCTCTAGAATGTCTCAAGACTGGGAACTTAGAGTGAACTTGATGAACGAACCCACCATCTAGAGGGGATTTAAGAAGGGAGGGAATGGTCAAACAATAAACAAGAGGTTATTCTGACCAAACAGGATCACTCTGAAGAATAAATTGAGGAACGAACTAAGAAGATTGAGCTGTCTGGAGTGCAGAGTTCAAGAAGATCTGATAAAGATCGAGGCAAAGGAGTCTTCAAGGGAAATGACAACTAGTCCAAACATGGTTTGGAAGATAAACAGAGAGATGGTTACAAAATTTGTGTAAGAGAGTAATAATGTGTTTCGGATGTGTGGTTAAGAAACCTGTGATACACTGAAAGTATGAGGTTAGAGTCAAGTGCATGATTTACAGGTTTAAAAAAATGTTATTTCATAGAAGATTTGGGTTTCTTCTTCTCCACGCTTACAGAAGGTACCTCAGGAGATATAAGATTATTATCCATTTCAGTTTATTCCTTCAATAATTGGATGACTATAATGACGTGTTCCAACTTTAAGATTTACCAAAGCTTTAGAGAGGTGGAGGCTCCTGTGATTCTACCTCCTCCACAATGTACCTGCCAAGAGGCAACCGGACCACCTTCTCTTGAAAACTTTTCAAGGAGAGAGAAGTTAGTTTTCACTAGGTTAGACTAGATTTCAAATCTCTGGAAAAATGAAATCATTGATTCAGCCAAGAATCATGAATGGATGCTAAGACCATCAGGTAAAAACTGTTGCATGCATGATATTTGACAAGTGCCAAAATATCACCCCACTCCACAAAGTATCACCCCACAGATTACCTGCTAATTGCACAGGGAGAATGGAGACACCCAGAAGTCATCCCCTAAACTGAGTGATCAGACAGCATTTCCAACGGTGGGGCAAACTTCCATTCCAGCATCATCTAAGAAAACCTCTTCCCTCAAATCTGAACCTAATCACACTTCTCAATCTAATTTTCAGTTTAGAGGAAATACAATGACAGAAGAAGTTAAACGCCACCCTTTGTCTGAAAGTCAGACAAATCCAAAATGTAGGATATCATATAAGGTAACCAGCCCGCTTTTTCAAGTCAATGTCACAGGGAAAACATTTATTCTGACTGTTCCAGAATAAAAGAGAATAAAATACATAACAATCAAATGCAGTGCATGAAGTGTTACTAGACCCTGGTTTGTGCTTTGTGTTTTAAACTATCAAAGACATTTTGGGAACAAATAGAAAAATCTGGGTAGACTGCATATCAAATGATATTAGAAGAGTATTTTTAACTGCTTTAGATACAATGAGGATATTTTAGTCAAATTAGAAGTCTCTTATTTTCAGGGGGGAGAAAGAAAAAACAAATGGAACAAAAGATTGACTGCTGATGACACTAAATGGTTAGTGTATCACTGATAATTGTGTCTCTCAGCTTTTCTGCATAATTTTTAAATTTCACGCAAAAAAGCTTGAAAAATCTTTTAATAAACTCATCTGAAATCTGCTTCTGTCTGTGTTCGCCTAGTAATCCTAATGCCACCTCCTGTCTCTTGGTTCCGGGGCCACAGGTTCTGATTTCCCTACTTCCCTTTCCCTGGGCTCTGGCTGCTCCCAGGCAGTCCCTTTGCAAGATCCTCCACTGACCCTTCAGAGTTACAGCTTCAGGGCTCAGCCTTGGCCCTCTGCTCCCTCCGTTTCTCCATTCCCTTCACTTCAGCTGCTACTGAAATGCTAAAGACACCCCCACCTCAACAAACGTACATCTTCAGGCCAGACTGCTGATCTGGGGTAAATGGATCAGAACACAGAAAGAAACTTTCGTGCCTAAACCATTGCACTTCCCAGCAAACCAAGATCCAAAACGACCCACTAAGTCAGGGCATATTCTTTTCTCTTAGGAAACTCCAACCACCTCAGTTTAAAGGGAAAATGTCAGTATGTCACAAATCGAAGAAACTTCTGATTAATTAAAATGCTTACAGAGTTAATTGTTTCCGCAGACGTCAATGTGTGATTAAATCAAGGCTCAACCACTTCAATACATACATGAGCGCCTCTTCCTACTTAATATATACAATATTCAGGATATAATTTGAAATTTTTTATTCCTAAATTTAAAGCACCTTCATATCAGAACCATAGATATCTATGCACTGAGTATACTTAGTTTGGGACTGTAACACAGATTTAAAAGATATAAGCAACTGAGCTGAATCTGTATTGTCTCCAAGACTCACTTGGAATTTACTCAAATTTTAACATTTAATTACCCACATTATTATTATTGTTATTATTTTATTATTTTATTATTATTATTATTATTTCTCTTTCCCGTTCTCTTTCTTCCATCTCTTTTACACAAACCAAAACTTGTAAAGGAAGATCCAATATTCAGGCATCTCACAGAGGAGTAAAAATTCATAAAAGATTTGAGGCAAAGAGAAGTAACCGTCTAATATAGGGTCAGAGATGTGGAAAACAGGCAAGACTCAAGGTTCAAGAGCAAATGATTAAACTTTTTCAGAATCTTACTTTTAACCAAACCTCACTGATTTTGAGGAAGGCTCTGAGAAATAATTCATGGTGTTTCTACAGTGTTAAAAAAAAAAAAACTGAAGCAAGCACTTGCTTTTACCAAGAAGCCTAAAAAAAGAACAAGTGCCCCAAAATGCAGAAACACATAGAATTATAATTTGTTTCCATTACACTCTTTCAGGTTAACTAATTTCTCTCTCTTCTGCAGCCCAGGACTCACAGAGCTCATATTGATGACTAAATTAGTTTGCCTTTCAATACAGGATTCCTTTGCTTTCCACGTCTACCTGGTCGACAGATTCGGAAATTTCTTCAGACTCAGGGTGTCTTTGAAGCTTCCTCATCTGTTTACAACCAGGGAAATGCACGTCACTCGAGAGTCTCCCGGTGGAAACGCAGGAGTTCGCAGCCTTCAGTTCAGCCAGCACAGGTGACTGCTTCCCTTAACCCCTTCTTCCTCGTTTACGTAGATTTTGGAAGTGAATGAAACCATTCCTCTTGATTAACACGTGGTGCCAAATCACTAATTACCATAAGCATAAAAATGCTACATATTCCTAAATTACTTCTACCTTGCCTAAAATGGTCATATTTCAACATCAGGTAACTTTTAAAATTTGCCCAGCTCACATAAAGTTAGTGATTTCCCCAACTAAAATGGGTTCTATTTTGCAAAGAAGCTAGGGCAAAAATCTGGCAAACAAGTCAAATAAATTAAAACCAAAAAATTCATTTTTAAAGATAAACACTTTTTTTTTAATTTCACCTTCCCTAATTTTTCTGCCTTAGTTAAAAAAAGAAAAAGGATGAAGGCCTTTTAGAGGTGGGATGGGATAGACTTACTTCGTGGGAAAGTTCTGAAATCTTCATTCATAGGATAAGGGCATTAGCTTAATCCATGTTTCCAAAGCTCGCGTTTGTACCCATCTAATGATCTAATGTTAACAGTAGTCCAAGGTAATGACTGAATCTCAGCCATGAGTCAGAGAAATCAAACGTCTAACTTGGAAATAAGAACAATTTAATGGACAAACCAAACATCACCACAATAAATAAGACATTGAAGCGTTGTCTTTTTTTCATTCAACAGCATGAAAAGTTTTTTGTTGTCATACATTTAAAACTCTTGAACACCAAATTAATTTACTGGCAACCAAAAAAAAAAAAAAGACTATCACAACAGAAAGAGAGACACAAATTTAGCACTGCAGACATTATACAAATAAGCCAAACACTCAGTACCCACACCCAGAGCTTTCTAGAAATCTCATTATATGATAAACCCACCAATTTATCTGATGTTACATTTCAGACAAAAATGAACATTTTTTTAAAAACCTTATAAATATATAAATCCAAACCACAAAACATCTCCCAGCCAGTACTCTAAGTACAAATGGATATTTGGAAATTGCATTCACGATGCTACCTAAACTAGATTTTATGAAATCATGAATGTATTTAGCTGCCTTTGGGCTTAAAATTCATTGGGCCACATTCCAGGAATAATTTCCTATCATCATACCTACCCTGGGCATACATGTTCTCAAAGTTAATAGTGACACAATTAAAATCAAATACTATTCTAGAAATAAGTGTCCATTTTTCCTGAATAAAGAGATTGGAACTGGTCCACTGTATTTCACACAACAAATGTTTCACCACAAACAAGTTAGTCTTAGCAATGCCCCTTTCTAAGAGTTATAAATATTTTAATGTTTATCATCAGTAATGAGTTTTAGACTAAAAAGCTTTTTTTTTTTTTGCCTACTTTCTGCGGACACTCAAATCCCTCAAACCTAAAATCCGCTAACCAGTTTCTTCTCATAAATATGTACGTTCAAATTCCCCCACATCATGAAAAGAAGCTCATTAACTCAAGTCACATAGCTTATGCTTTTATCTGAAATAAATTGTGTAGGAACTTGAATCCATTCTAAAATGGACTTTACAGGAATAGCAATATGTTAGATTGCACCCTGCCACCTCCACTTTACTTCCTTGAAGGGTCTCTTCAGTTAGGGCATCAGCTTTGCGTGTTTTGGTGCCCATCTTTCTGCCTGACCTACTGCAACACAGTCCTGCACGTAAATTGGAACCATTATATTTTGGTACAGCTCAGTAGAACACAGCAAAATATTTAGGTTCTCAGCACATCGAACCATAAGCTAGAACATCTAAATTGTTTCTGGGTTTCCACTGACGCGATTTACCCCAAAATGTTATAGGATTAAGTTAAGTGAGTCCGTAGTTGAATTTAAAATGCAATGGGGGAAAAACCAAAATCTTCATAAAGTTATAGCAACTAATTTAAATGGAACCTCATTCAAGATAAGGGATGGGGCTGATTGAACAATGTGGTTAAAAAAAAAAAGAAAGAAACGAAAGGAAACTAAAATGCTTTAAGAAAAGGCTCAAATGAGATCTCCATGAACTATAACTGCTCCATGAGAATTTCATAAAAGACTAGAGAGCAGAAAACAAATGTGGAGGAAAGGGTGTGTCTCAAAAAACAAGTGGCCACATTCTGCCTTGAAGTTTACTCTGATGCCAATTCCTCAATGTCTGTAATTCTCTTTAGTAAAGCAGCAAAACAGGTGTGTGAGTGAAATCACACAAGGGTGTGAGGCGAGTTTCCTCTTGCAAGGAGCATGCGCAGAGGGAACCAGCATCCGGGCTTAACAGGACCCAGGGAAGCGCCAACAACGGGGTGGGAGGTGAGCACTGTGCAAACTGATGTGTCTGGGGACTGCTCTCCTCCTGCGTCCACCCTGCCTCCCAGGCTATCCACGATCACGAGAAGAGGAATCGGTTCACGCCTCACCGTCCACAAAGACCCCTCCCGCAGCACAACACGCCGGCCCCTGGTGTCTGTCTAGCAGCGCGGAGTGAAATCTGCCCTTTCTCTGGGAAGGCTCAGGAGAAGAGCTTGAGGGAGGCTTAGCCGATACCTTTTTCTTTTTTGCTAACACGTAAGTAGAAATGAACATTTTTTACTTCCAGCATACAGGAAGACCAATTGAGTCAACATGTTGATGGAAAACGGACCACAAACATGCCCAATGGCTTTGTTAATGCCATGGGCACCAACACAGAAAGTATGAAAGAAAATGAGGGCTAAATGACCTCCCTTCAAACGTGGCAAGGTGTGTCAAGTTTCCTAGTGTGTGTCTCCATCAAGAGGAAGGTGCCAGGCAGTCTAGGAATTCGTGACAGACGCACTGGCAGAAGCCGTACACCATCAGGATGACGAGGCTGGAAGGGACCAGGCTGACGAAGACGACCCCGAGGGTGACCTTCTTAGAGACCAGTAAGTAGATCCCCAAAGGCAAGGAGCTGAAGTACAGCAAACCCAGCAACCAAACCAACACCCTGACGGACGTCTGAAAGAGCAGCGACGTGCAGTTCCACACCGTCCAGTTGTGCGACACGGTCGTCACCGAGTCGAAGCTGGAGGGCCTGTAGAACTCGACCACGGGCGTGGAGCTCAGGGACGGGGAGCTCTCTCTCTGCACCTCCATGATCGTTATGACCAGGCAGTTGGAGGAGGCGTGGGAAGGACTGACCAGCGAGGCCAGCCTCTTGGGGGTCAGCAGCAGCTCGGTGGGGTTCTCGGGCAGGCACTTCTTGCCTTTGCTGCCACAAGTCAAGTTCACCAGGATGTTGTTGTCATCAGGCAGACTGCTGACTTCGTCGTCCGGCAGGCACGTCTCGAACCTGCAGAAAGGGCAGACGATGACGCCTTGCGGGGAGTCCCCAAAGTCTATGATCTTGTAGAGGCATTTGGCACACACCCTGTGACAACACTCCAGCACCTTGGGCTTCCTCTGCTTCAGGTTGTAGCGGTTGTAGCAGATCTTACACTCAAGCTCATCGGAGACCTGAGACTCTGTGGCGTCTTCCGGTGGCTGACTGGCCATCTTGAGCTCGGGGTACACAGTATTGGGCCAGACGTGTCTCGTCAAAAGACGGCTTCGATTAAGCTATCTCTCTGAGCATCACATCATCCAAATTAGGCAGAGGTGCAAACAGGCAGGAAAAGCAGGGACAGAAACCAGAAATCTTCCAGGCACTTTCAGCTTCTACATACCACTCTCTGTCTCAAACGCATATTTACAAAGGCCACATGAAGGGTCTGCAAAGGAAAAGAGATTCTAATATAGTGAACAGTGAAAAGTGCTGTACGGAATTTTCTGAGCTTCAGCTGTTAGCAGCGGTAGACTTGAAAGGTTAAATCCCCTTCATCTTTTCATGCATTCCTGCCCCCAGGACAGGAAAGTGTTGTCTCCATGCTTAGCTTTTTCAGTCCACAAATATGACAGTAAAGAAGGAATTAAGGAATCATTTTTCCCCCAATATTAGCATTTTTATTTATTTTTATATATATACTTTTTATTGAAGTATAGTCAGTTTACAATGTTGTGTCAATTTCTGGTGTACAGCCTAATGCTTCATTCATACATGAACATACATATATTCGTTTTCATATTGGAATTAAGAATCTTAATGATATAAAGTACACTCCAAGAGCATTGTGGGTACGGCTAGATACAGAGATTTTTCTCTCTGAAATTTGTAACAAATTCTGGCCTCTCTGAAGACAGAATGAGACACTTATCAGAAATACATATATTTGCAATTAAACTCCATTCAACATAGACTAATTCAGAGACTAATTGGTATCAATACCAATTGTCTAAATACCCTCAAGAGTGCTTAGGAACACACAAAAGAAGGGAAAACTTAAGGATAAATGTTTAAAATGTGTTTTCAGAAAGTGCTTTGATAAAGATGAGAGTGTCTTTAAAAACAGCAGACAGTTCTCACTTTCCCAGTGTAAAGAAATCTGTTATAAATGCCTCCATTATTTGACTATTCAATTTCACACTTTTTGTTTCGATACTAGTCTTGAAAACCATGCTTGACACATACACATTCACTCAAGGAAGACTGAAGCATAGGACACCTGACGTAAGCATCATAACCAGGTCGCTAATTCCCAAGACAGAGACATAAACACAGAACGTACGCTCAGTTACGTCTCCAAACGTGAAGAACCGTGCACGTGTGGCTTCCAAGAAGTACTCAGACTTCGCCTACTTGCCTGCTTGCTCTCATGTAAACTCTCTCCACGGTGAACAGAGAGCACAGTCCTTGACGGCGGCCCCTAGTTGCTACTACCACTGGCTTTAAATGAAAGTAGTTTCTTTCTATTCTTTCTGTTCTTAATTTCTATTTTTTAATTAGTTGTGCCTATGCATTTTATTAAATGCTCTTCAGCATCTATTGATGTAACCATGTGGTCTTCTAGTCCTAATTAGATCATGTGAGAGAGTGCACTGACAGGTTTCCACTCCTGTGTTCTTGGAAGACACTCTACCTAGTCACACACAGTTGGGTCCTCAAATACACTGATAGGCTCTATCTGCTAATATCTTATTTAGAATTTTTGCATCCATATTCAACATTAAATTGGTCTCCAGACTATTATTGTTCTCCATCAGGTTCTGTAATTAAATGTATGCTTATTTTACAAATGAATTAGGAGCTTTTCATCATCTCCTGAAACAGTTCAAATAATGATAAAATTATTTTTTTTTAAAGATTACCTAAAACTCGGCTGTAACTCCAGATAATACCACTGCCTTTTTAAAAGGAAGATCTTTAATCACAGTTCCAATCTCTTTCATGGTATTGTTTTATTCAAACTGTCCATTTTTTCCCGAGTCAAATTTAGGCATTTATATTTGGCAAGAAAATAATCCATTTCTCCTGTTTGTTTTTTTTTCCAAATTCATTGCCAGAGTTGAATGCAGTTACCTTGGTTTCTTCTTTGAATGGCTCCTGCATCTCTGATTATGTCCTTTTTCCCACTTCGAGTCTTGTACGTTTTTACCCTTTATTAATTTCCTAGTCAGACACATAAATCTTTATTTATTGCTTCAAAGAACCAGCTATTATTATATTTATCCTTCCTACTACTTTTTGTTTCATTAACTTCAGCTTTAATATTTATTATGACCTCTTTCTAATTTATTTTAGTTTGTTTTGTCATTCTTCTTTCTCATTTCATGATAAGGTACACTTGGTCTTTAGTCTTAAATAATGAACACATTCAAAGGCCATAAAATTTCCACTGGCTACAGCTTTCATTCTATCCCGTAGCTCTTAGAATAAATCACGCTCCTTTTACTGATATCCAGGTATCTTGTAAATTGACTTTTGTCTGCTCCTTTGATACAAAGGTTATAAAGAGTGATTTTAAATTTCCAAGTAGTAAAGCTTTTTTTTTTCTTACCTTCTCTTATTTCTTTCTCATCTTACTGGATTATGATCAGAGAATAAGATCTATAAAAATCTCTTTCCCTTTGGCTTTGTCAAAGTCTTCTTTGTAGTCAAGTGCATGGTCAAGTTTTCCAAGTAATCCAGAAGAGAGTATTCCACATTCAAGGGATGCGTGGTTCCAGCTTATCTATTAAATCTAACTTTTTTATTTATTCAATTTCTGCATCATAGGGGTCTGCATAAAGTTATGATGGATTGAGACAAGTGGCAGAGGTTTATTAAAAGCGTCTCACCGTAACTATTTGCATTCCTAATACTTCACCATACAGATTTGGTGGCTACATTATTTAATACATACACATGTATTTATCTCCTTCATAAACTGCGCCATTTTGGAATCATTATACAAAGTCTTTCCTTATCCTATTCATGCCTTCAACATAAATACTTACCTTAATATGGCTAGTTCTTCTGACTATCTGTATTGGGCCGGGATTGCTGTCCATCCTTTTTTTTTCATTTCAAATATTTCTGAAAAATACCACATAACTGGGTTTGCTTTTTAACTTAGTCCAACAATATCAAACTTTAATGGGAAAATTCAGTTCACATTTAAGGTAGACACTGTTCTATTTGAATTTACTCTTTCCTTCCCACTTGAGTTAAATGGTTAATCTAGAAAACCACCCCCACCCCAAAAAAAAGAAAAAGAAATATTTCCCCTGCTGTTATCTCTCCTCTTTCTGAGGTATTTCTGATTAACTTTATGTTTGGATGCTTTTTGTCTATGTATGTGATTTTCAGGCTGCTGGCTTTTTGTCTCCATGGTCTACAGAAGTCACTCCACAATCTCCGGCTTCCAGTGTCATGGATGAGAAATCTGCTGCTGGTCTGATACTCCTTAATAGGGGGGTAATTTGTTCTCTGTCTGGAAACTCTTAAAATTTTGCTTTTTATTCTTAAGAGTTCAAGAACGTTTCCAGTACATACAGAGAATTCATATATCTTGCCTGGAACTTCATGAACCATTTGAATGTATAGACTTTAAAGTCTTGATTTTTAAGCGCAGAAAATTTGTTTCTTATATTTATGTAATTATTGCCTTTCCTCCATCTGTCCCCTTTTCTCCTTCTGGCTCTCCTGTTCCTCACAGGTTATATTTCCTAGATCTGTTTTCTCTTGTGATTCCCATCCCTTTAAATTTTCGGTCTATGCTTTCAGATTCTTCCCCTTGACCGACCAGGCTACTAATTCAAGCCTCAGGAGAGAGCATCATCTCCATCAGTTCACGTACTGAAACGTTTGATTGGAAAACCATGCCTTTCCTCTCTAGGAAGTCTCCTTGCGCTGCATTTAAATCTCCTTATGTGCTCTTACTATTTTTTGTCAGGTAGTCATCTGTCCCCAGCTGCCACTCTGTCGCATTAACCATGTGTTCATGGAGCCATTATTCCTCTGCTACATCACTGGGGCTCTGGTCTGATCGCTGGAGGACCCACGTGACTGCACTTCTATGAGAGCAGGGAGCGCAGTGGTCTCCACTCCGGTGACCTAGCTGTGCGACAGAAGGCAGGCACCAGGGCCAAGTCCCCAGGAAGGAAGACTTTCTGCTCTAAAGTCTTATCACACTCTTTCAGCCTACAAGACAGGGAGGATTCAGTCTCAGTGTTCATCTTCTCCTTGGTCTCTCTCACACACACACACACACACACACTCATTCACATACAATGGGGTGAGGGCGATTTTCGATTTTCCTCCCAGGAGTCCCCCAGTCTCTGTAGGTCAAGCTCTTTATAGCATCCAATGCATTCTGGTCCTCCCAGGCTCACCGGATGCCAGTCTTCACTGCCAGCCCTGCCCAGCCCAGGAAGAAGACCTCCACCTGTTCCCCCTCACCCTCAACTTCCGCAAAGCTCAGGGCTTCACCTGACCCCAGGGCTCTTTTGGCTCCAGGAATGGTTTGGGTCAGGAGAGGCAGAAACAGAAGAATTGAGAATGGTAGGCCACTTTACCTTGCTATCTTCCCAGAATCCTTGCCAACTATAATTCCTGGATTTTTTTTTCAAATATTTATCCAGATGGGAAATGTGGGAATTTGTGATACGTCAAGTTTAATTTGAGAGAACCTTGGCAGTCCTAATCATGCTCAATGACTATTACATAAAGATACGTATCAGGTTCAGAGACTATTACATAAGGGATGTATCAAACTGATTTTAATCCCTAAGTTCATAACTATTTTTGAAATTCTCCATTCTGCACATTCTTCTGTTCTCCTTCTGTAGCAAACTGCCTGACCTCAAGAATCCATAAACTTGACACCTGAGAGTATATGAACCCTTTTACTTTTCCCTTGGATATTTTTTTGAAATAATACCTCTAGTGTTCTACATTTTATTTCAAAGAGTTGTATTGGCACATGCCAGTTTTATCAAAAAGCCATGAGAGAAGAATTCTTCGTATTTTTCTGCTTCAAAAACATTCATATCTACATTTTATAACTTTGTTTGGGGTCTTTGCTGTTTGGGTCTCAGGCTGTTTTGGGTCTTCCTCCCCAGCTGGTTGTGACTCTTCTACTTCAATCTTTAATTTCTTAGTAAACCATTTTACCAGAATATCCTTTGGCCTTCCTCCATCATGCGTGGGGGTAGTCAAATGGCTGTAGTAACCCTCCACAGCCCTGGCAATGTGACTTTCAATTCAGCCCATCAGTGGGTGGAGGAATCCACTTCCCACCCCTTAAATCTAGGCTGGCCTTGTGACTTGCTCTGACCAACAAAATAAAGTTGCAGTGACTTTGTAAGAGTTCTCAATCCTGATCTCAGGGTGCCTTGCAGCTTCTGCTCTTGGCCTCCTTCTTGGGACTCTGGGCCACCAGGTGAAAAATCCCAGGTTTGTCTCCCTGAAGATGAGAAACCAGAGAGAGAGATTAAGGCCCAGACAAAAGCCAGTCACATGATACCAGTCACGTGGGTGAGACCATCACAGACCAGCCAGCCTCAGAGAAACTACTAGTGACAATAGCCATTTGAAAGAGGCACCCTGAGAGAGAGACCAGCAGAAAAATCACCCTTAGTGAGCCCAGCAGAAATTGCTGATCCTCAGAATCCTGAGCACATAAAATGGTTGCTGTTTTAAGCTACTAAGTTTTGAGGTGATTTGTTTTGTAACAACAGATAACCAACACCTTATGCAAACTACCCCTTTCCAAACTATTCCAGAGTTAATCTCTGTCCCAAAGAAACGGTCTTCATTTATCCGCGGCTGTCGTGCCTACCAAGAAGACTTCCTTACATACTTTGAAGCTGCCCAACCCTGAGACTTTGGCAATTTTTGTTTGGGTTAGAAAATTCTTGGACAAGACAAAGTTCCTATATATTCTTCTGTATATAAAGTTTTATCATTTTTATTATAATGACCTCTGTTAATTAAGAGAGTTTCTCTAAGAAGCTCAGAAATTTTAGAAACATTGCATAACCTTCACGACCGTGAAGGGCAACGTAACTCCCATTTGATAGACACGGAAATGCCCATAAAAGGTAAGCCTTTTTCCCAAGATTACGTAAGAAGTCAGGACAAAGGGAGCTCAAAAGATGAGCCATCACTGCGATCCTATTTTTTGCCTGTTCAGGGCTCAAGCCTGTGTCGCAGTCTGCTATCCATGCAAATTAATTTTAAACATCTCAGGGTGAGTTTCGTTTCTTCCATGTATTTCTCATTTAGCCTGAATCATGCTCACAGAGTCCATCAACCATTCTGATTTGGCATTAACAGGGCAGGTTCTATTTTCCCCCTTATGAAACAGCAACCACTGCCAAGTTTGAGTTCTCATTTCCTGGATCCTCCTCCCATCCTGGAAAATAAACAATATTAACATTGCTCCCTACATGGCGAGACAATAAATTTAAAAGGGCTCTCTAACCAAAAAACTGATACAAATTAAGAAGCTGTCATTTTCATTATCTATGGTTCCTGTTTTCAGAGACGGCGCTAAAGACTTGCTTCTATCTTTAATTTCTTTTTGCGCTAAACGGAACCTCATTCTTCAAACATTTTCAGTTTTTGATCATCAGTTTTTATGACATCCTAAGTTCTCTAATAATTCTATCCCCCAAAATATGTGAGAGAGTCTGGTACTTGAAGCACCCTTCTTCTCTGTGAATAACCCAGGCAGAACATTGGCTTTAAGCTCAGCTACTGATAAATGACACGTATATCCCATCTCTCTAAGGCCAACTCTCTCACTCACAGAACCCTACACTCCAGATCTTAGTATTTATGGCACCTGAGTTTCCAATTAAGCTTAAACCATACACGTGGCATCTACCTTCAGGAAAGTCCAGTTTCTGGAGTTTCATGAGCTGGCTTCCAGTTAGAGTTTGAAAGACTCACGTCACTGTTAATAATTACAAATCGCCAATAATATGCTGGTCTCAGTCCCGATTAACATAGTTCTCCCTTAGGGAACATTGACAATATTTTAAGTTTTCGGGTAGCGTGACAGTCTCGGGATGGGGGTTTTGGTTATGCCTTTTCATTAAGAGAAGTCCTTCTCATTAAAATCACAGGCTCCAACATAGCAAACCCGGGAAGAAGCAGTTCTGCAGATGCAGAGCACTCATTCTTGAAGGATCAACAGCTGATTCTAAATGAATTTAACTTCCAGCACCAATAACCTTTAATGGCTGGCTGCTTGGCAGCATTCTGAGCACTTCCAGAAAACTCTCCTCAAAGATTGGAACTCTTACTGTACCCCTCCTCCAAGACTAAGCAATTTAATTTGATGGTGAATCATAATCTATTTATTAGAATACAGCCAAGTTAATGATCTAGAACTCCAGGCTGTTAATTTTGGATGAGAAGCCACAATTTATACACACAGGGGAGGAACTGATGATGCATCGTTTGCCAGCGGTTTTAAACCAGTGACTACCCAGCAACGAGGGAGAAGCAGCAGGTCCTCCTCGCCCTGTGTATATCCACACCTGCAACCTCAGGCCATGCTTGGTACCTTACTCTTTACTTGGAAGAAGCAAAGATATAATTTAAGAAGCTCAAGGAGGGAGGGTATCGCTCAATGGTTGAGCACGTGCTTAGCATCAACAAGGTCCTGGGCTCAATCCCCAGTACCTCCATTAAAGAATAAATAAATAAACCTAATAACCTACCCCCGCCCCAAAAAAGATCAAGGATTAACAGGAAAACAGGCTGCAACTTACACTATTAAAAGTGACTGAGTCTCCCCAACTGGACAAATCTCTTTGCTATTAATCCCTTCCCCAATGATTTCTCTTGGCCAAAATTTAATAAACTCTCTAACCATATCAAGAAAGAATTAAATGGCTAAAGAACTAACATAGGTGCTTGGCACCCTTTCTACAATTTCTAACTTAGGTAGAAGAAAGTTAATTATTTTGATGCCAATTTCACTAAATGAAACCAGTATTACACACACACACTCACACACACTTGAATGTTCCCTCTTCTTCCAAATCAACGGAACTGCCTTTCTTTTGAAAGACAGAGGTAATATACCTACTGGTCAAAAAACTACACGACT